GCTTCTCAAATGTACGTGGGGATCTCCCACCGCATCGTAAGTTAGGCCGTTCGGGGGTCGACAGTCCCTTAATATTTCAACATTCATAATCTCCCTGGTGAAGGGAGAAGTAATCCCAATCCGAGCTGGTGGGGTCTGTTGGGGGTGTGGTTAACCTGTTCCCTGAGTTCGGCCATTTGCCTCCTCATTTCGGCCATGTCTTCCTCATGGGCCGTTCGGGGAGGTGGAGGCGGACTCCTTAGGTCCATGAATTCCGGAGTTTGTTCTGGTGGAGGTGCTGCTGTTTCCCTCCTTCGGCGGATGAATCTTTCTCCATCCCTCTCCACATATTGGAAATGTTGTCCCACTGGGTCTATTATGGGAGTAGGCTCCTTGAAGTGAGCCCCGCCCCAAGGCCTGATCGGGGTTCGGTTCCTAGGGGTGTGTTGCATGTGCCGGGGGGTGTGGGCTCTCCACTGATTTCCTCGGTACGCCTGGGAGTGGGCTGAAGCGGTAGTAGTTTGAGTATCGTCCTCCCCCTTCTAGAATGATGGCATGGAGCGGATGGGGGATAGTGAGTTAGAGGTGTCATCGGTGGAGGTAGCCCCACCCCTCTTTTGTTCATCCGCCATGCGCTGCATGGCTGCTGCCATTTCCCTCATCAGTTGAGGGTTTCTCCTGACGTCATCTGGAATGACGTCCATGAATTCTTATGAGGCACTTATGCTGGCGTGCCTCTGTGTGGACCAGTTCCCGGAGGATCCGTAGCCCCTCCGGCCCCTGGTAGCAGAGCTTGGTGTTGCTGAAGCGATTCTAACCATCTTGAAGAAGGTGGGGCTTAGATCAAATAGTTTTGCTTGGGATTTTTGTTCAGTTTCCCACAAACGGCGCCAATGTTGAGGTTTAGTCCCGTAGATCCGAAAGCCCAACACACGCTTTGAATATGAAGGACGTTTGTCTTGGTTAAAAGGTGTATAAAATATAAAACGGTGAATTAAGACTGAGCTCAGAAGCTAAATTGTATTATGCCCGAACGGGAGTCGGTATGAGATTATTACAAGAACAAGAGAGGTAATTCTATTGCTAAGCTCTGAGTCTAAAAAATGTAACCCCTTACAATGTATTCAATGCAGGTATTTATACTAAGAAGGGGGGTAGGTGGGATGGTGATGTGGCTGAACCTGGTTGGCTGCTGCCTCTGCCGCCTTGCACCCATGCCTCTACTTGTCATTGCCATATTTCAGCATTAAATGCGACTTCCACTTGCTGACTACCCGGTCGGGTACCCCATTCGGGGTGCGGGATCCCTTTGTGGGCGTTTGGATGCCAGTACTATGTTGATTATCTCAAGTGAATAAATCGACCCGAATGTTGTTCAGGTACTTTCCCGTTCGGGATATCTTGAACTATTCTGACTGCTTTGGGATCCCGACTTCCTCTGAGCCTCTCCATGCTTTTGGCCGGGGGTATTGGGCTTTGGCCCAATACCCCAACACTATTTGACATCATTGTATGTATATATTCAAGGATCACCCAAAGGTGAATTTAAGCATATATGTTTATGTTTTCTAAGAATGAATCTGTATTAGTTAATTCAAAGCATTAACTAATAGGGATTTAATTAGGGAATTCATGTATATTGTTGCAGCTTCGTTAAATCTCTTATCGTTCACGAACGATTTAATTAGGGAATTCATGTTAGATATCAAGTCAAGCAAGATTGATACACATTTAGGTTTCGTGCGTTTCGAATCAAATCTCATAGAAGTTCCTAATAACGCTTGGTGGTTAGATTCTAGTGCTTCTACTCATATTTCTCACATTATGAAGGGATTTAAGTCTATCCAACCAATAAGGGGAAATGAACAATTTCTATTTTTGGGGAATAGGATGAAAGCACGCATCGAAGGCATAGGGACCTATAGGCTGATCTTAGACACTGGATGTCCTTTAGATCTAGATAATTGTCCTTATGTGCCCGATTGTGCTAACAATCTTGTTTCAGTTAGTAGGTTGGATGTTTTAGGATTTCATATCAAGTTTGGGAACAATATACCTTTTCATTATTTAAGGATAATTTTATTTATGGATATGGTGTGTTCGTTGATTCCCTATATCGTTTTAATCTTGATTTGAAATTTACTGAATCTCTATTTAATGTTGAAAATAATGTGGGAGTTAAGTGTAGTGAACTAGATGAGGACTCGGTTTTCTTTTGGCACCAACGTCTCGATCATATTTCCAAAGATATGCTAATGAGGTTAGTTAAGAATAAAATTTTACCTCAATTGGATTTTAGTGATTGGGATGTGTGTGTTGATTGCATTAAAGGAAAGCAAACCAAACACACAGTAAAGAAGGCGTCCACAAGAAGCACTCAATTGTTAGAGCTTATACACATTGATATTATATTTGTGGTCCTTTTGATGTTCCTTCTTGGGGTGGAGAAAAGTATTATATCACCTTTATAGATGACTACTCATGTTATGGATACATCTTTCTACTACATTATAAGGCCCAGTCGGCAGACATTCTAGCGGTGTTTGTTAACGAGGTGGAAAGGCAGTTAGAGAAGAAAGTTAAGGTTGTGAGGTCTAATAGAGGTGGTGAGTATTATGGGAAATCCAATGAATATGGACAATGTCCAGGTTCATTCGCTCATTCCTTGAAAGTCGGGGCATTTGTGCTCAATACACAATGTCAGGTACACCACAACAAAATGGTGTAGCTGAAAGGCAGAATCGTACGTTAATTGAAATGCTTAGGAGCATGTTAAGTTATTCTACCTTACCCCCTTCGTTATGGATGTATGCATTAAGGACTGCTACATATCTGTTAAATCAGGTTCCTAGTAAGGCAGTTCCTAAGACACCTTATGAACTGTGGACATGTAGGAAACCTAGTTTGAGACATCTCCATATTTGGGGGGTGTCTTGCAGAAGTAAAAGAGTATACAATCCACATGAAAGGAAACTTGATCCGAGGACAGTTAGTAGATTTTTTATTGGTTATCCTGAAAAGTCGAAGGGGTTTTATGTTTTATTGTCCTAGTCATAGTACGAGAATTGTAGAGACATGCAATGTTCGATTCATAGAAAATGATCAAGTTAGTGGGGTTGGTGAACCACGAAATGTGGTCATTCAAGAACAAAAAGATAATGCCATGTTCCCACATGTCGGACGCATCAATAGTAGCTCGAACACCAACAAACGAACTGAATATATAGTTAGTGACACAATCACTAATGATCAGAATGAAGGCGCAGTTGGTGAACAAGATACTAATGAACATGTTGGGACCACTTCAAATGAACACGTCATCACTCAAGAAAATGATAATTTGTCATAAGGAATAGCGTTAAGAAGATCATCTAGGGAAAAACGATCTGTTATTCCAGATGAATATTTACTATATTCTGTTGAACATGAGTGAGACTTGAGCATTGGTGAGGATCCAGTCTCATTTGAGGAAGCCATGGATAGTAAAAAACTCAGATAAGTGGATTGATGTCATGAATGAAGAGCTTATATCCATGTATGACAATAAAGTCTGGGATTTAGTTATGTTGTCAGATGGATCCAAACGAGTTGGATGTAAGTGGGTCTGTAAGACCAAGCGTGACTCTAATGGAAACATCGAAAGGTATAGGTCAAACTTGTTGCTAAGGAATTTACTCAGAAACGTGGCATTGATTACAAGGAGACCTTCTCTCCAGTTTCAAAGAAGGACTCCTTGAGGGTTGCTATGGCTTTGGTGGCTCTGATTTGGAGCTTCACCAAATGGACGTGAAAACCGACTTTCTAAACGGAGACCTAGAGGAAGAAGTGTATATTGATCAACCAGAAGGAGTTTTGGCCACTGGTAGAGAAAATCTTGTGTGTAAGTTACAAAAGTCAATATATGGACTAAAACAAGTTTCCCGACAATGGTATCTTAAGTTTCATAATACCATTTGTTCTTATGGTTTTATATAGAACGTCGTTGACTGGTGCATCTATATGAAGGTCAGTGGGAGCAGAGTTGTAATTTTAGTCCTATATGTTGATGATATCTTGCTTGTTGATGCATGATGTTAAGAAATTCCTTTCTAAGAATTTTTGAGATGAAAGATATGGGTGAGACATCCTATGTGATTGGAATTGAATTATTTCAAAACCGTTCATAGGGAGTCTTGGGTATGTCTCAGAAAAGTTACATCAGTCAGGTCTTAGAAAGATTTAATATGGACAAATGCTCTTCAGATGTAGTTCCAATTCAGAAGGGGTACAAGTTCAGTTTATTACAATGTCCTAAATATGAATTGGAACGTAAAGAGATGGAAAGAATTCCTTATGCGTCAATGGTTGGATATTTGGGATACGTTCAGACTTGTACTCGTCCCGATATTAGTTTTGTTATTGGAATGCTGGGACGGTATCAAAGTAATCTCGGATAGACCACCTAAAAGCTGCAAAGAAAGTTTTGAGGTACTTGCAAGGCACCAAAAATCACATGCTTACATTTAGGAGATATAATCATCTTAACGTGATAAGATATTCAGATTCAACTTGTTGGATGTGTCGATAGTAGAAAGTCAACATCTAGTTTTTCTGTTCATAGTATCTTGGAAGAGTAGTCAACATCTATGTTTATTCCCTATGGAATAACAACACAATATAAGTGAGAGATCTCATAAGTGAGAGATAAGGGATTTATTCCAGGTATTCCTAAATCTCACATATATCAGTATATGGCTATATGATAATGTATAATTATATGATGCCGATCTTGGAATTTAATCTAACACGTGAACAGTCAAATGAACTCTGCCCATACACGTCTAGGCCACAAGGAGGTTCGCGGACTCCATGCCTGCCCCGCATTGCTGTCCTAATATTCTTGTCTACATGCCTCTTTGGAGGCCTTACTTGACGGCCCTTTGAAAGAGATCAAAGCATGTTCTACTTTCTGTAATTAATACAATTACTAGCTACCAGTCTACCACTATATACGCGCATGCACAGCAAAAAACATTGTTTACATGCATGCTGCCTGCATCTTTCTTGCAAGCCAAGATCGAGAGTTAAATAGCTTAATATATACAAATTTAGCATGCTAAGCTAGCTTCGTACTTAATTGGGTATACATGTCATGCAACATTGCAACTCATGCGCGAGTTACACCTTGAAAATTGAGCATCTAGCTAGCCATCAAGGGCATGTATATTAGTGTGTATATATATATATATATATATATATATATATATATATATATATATAGAAGAAGCTAATTAAAGTAGGCACTTCATAAGTTTGTGCTTAAAGTCAGTCCAACAAGCCTCCGCTCGCGCAATATCCGAATCAGCCGTTTCTTTCTTCTGCTCCATGACACGCAACTCAGCTTCCATTACATCTAAAGCGGAACACTTGGCGAAACAATCTTTTCCCAAACTCAGTTTCTGGACTTGAACTGCTTTGGTTTTTATCTCAGCCTCCTTCCAGCTCCTCTTCAACTCCTTCATTTGGTTCTTAATAGAATCCATGGCAGAAAGGATCTTATCCTGGCGGTCTTTCAGGTTGAAGTATAGCTCCTGGCCCTTCTTTAGCTCCTCGATGAGAAGCGCTTTCTTTTCAGCTTTTGCGAAGAACTCCGCCTGATCCTTCTTTCCCCGACGAAGAGTAGAGCACAGGTCCGGAAGGGTTGTCTGGAGTTTCTTCAAAGTGTCATCATCATCACCAATAGAGCAGCGATCAGCGGTGGCGTATACAGAGAGTGCAGCATTGAGAGCAGAGTAGTTTTCAGGCACGAGAACAACATCCTGGAAAGGGATCGATACAAGTCTAGATATATCATCTTTGGCTCTTGCAAGTGCGGCTGCAGAAGGAGGTTCATCATTTGCTGCTACAGATGGAGAATGGCATGCTGCAGAGCTGAGAGATTGGGCTTTCCTTAGTTGGGCTTCCACGCGTGCAAAAAAGTCGTCCACGTCGTCAACTTGTATGGTTTCATCGGGTATCACTTTCCCGCCACTACTATTGGTTAGTGGTTGCTCAGGCATTACAGCCACTTCTTCCTGATCCAACAAGTAAATTAATTCATACACCCTTTCCATGCCAAGTATGTGGGGCTAAATGTAAAAATGGTACCATATTTAATTAGTATAGATGCATTTAGGCATTTCAACTATATTTAAAATTTTCAAAGTCAAGTCAACATAATCTATTTGCATCATTTGAAAGTTGGACACTAAAATGCATCACTACCATTAGTTATGGGCACTAACTGACAATGAAAATGATGCAAAATAGTGCACATTTTGTTAATGCCATGCACATTAGTGTTTCAGAACAGTTCAATTTATCTACAGTAATGTCACTGTGTTTCTCATTATGGTGCAAATTTTGATTTCAGATAATGTGCAATTCCAAAATCTAAAAAAAAGATTCATCGCATATCTTACATCACATCATATTCTCATTAGATTCAAATGATTACTCCCTTCGTCCCGGAAACAAGTTCCCACTTTCCTTATTTGGATGTCCCAAAATAAACTTCCCACTTCCTTATTTGGCAAATAAATCTACATCAAAACAGTGTCAAACAGTGCAAAACAGTGCTCAACAGTAAAATTTACCCCTCAGTAACTTTATTTCCTTAAAATGTGTGAAAGTCAACCCGGGAACTTGTTTCCGGGATGGAGGTAGTATATGTGTGTGAGCATGTGTTTGTTACTGTAATTGGAAAATAAGTGATCATTGATATCTTAACAAACTCAACCTGATAAGATCAAAGAAGTAACTAGAAATATGAAATAAGAGATGAAGAATGGTGAGTCTACATCTTCGGAAGTGAAGGATGAGGTGATGGAGGTTGCATCATCGCCCAAAACAGGCGTATCTTTTACTTTGTCCATTTCTGTTTGTGAAGGCTTGGTAGAGCATGTGGGAACAGATTTGACAGGAGTAGTATTATTTGTCTCTGAGAGAGGTGGAGGCGGGGGTGGCCCTTGTCTATGTGCTGCTGCTGAAAGCTGCAGCGGTATTTTCTTAAGTATAAATTAAATAGGATATGCATGCATGAGCTCGCGTATAACATATAAACGGAGTATCTGTTCAGGGAGGGAACAGGGAACTAGGGAAGGGAAAGTAGTGTTACGTTTAAGAAATAATATGACTACATGAGTGAAACCACTTTACGCACGTACATACCTTGAAATGAGTTGGTGCTTTCCCCTTCACTGTACCCGCGGACTTGCCTGCTGCTTTGTTGTGTGAGATGTTTCGTTTTTTAAGAATCTCTGCTTGTGAGGGAACAGATTTCCCTATATGCACATCAAGCAACCGTTGGATGGAATACAAATTATTGGTATTACTATTAGGCACGTAATAATAATATGGCCGGGTGTAGAGCATAAATTATGTACCTTCACGCTTCATTTTCTTGTTGATGGCAGCAGCAGACTGTTCGTACCTTTCTCTCATTGCATGTGAGGTGAGAGTAACTATAGCTGGCGGCGGAGGCGCCATGCTACTACCTGTAGTCCTATTGGTGCTCCACCGCCGTATGTAAGCAGACCACCAGAAATCAAAGAAGCAGGTAGATCGGGGTTCAATTTTAAACGAAACCAAGCAGAATTTCCCCCTCAGCAAATTGTAAGTTGATTCGGGGCCGTGGCACAGCGGGAGTGGGACCGCCTGTGTCAATCCGAACTGTCGGGCAAGCTGGTTTGGAGAATAAGCGGCGGCGGAGGCTGGCCCGAGGCAATGGAGGTGGCGTGGGAGGAGGTAGGAGCCCCAGATTTGGTTCATTTCCTTCCACGGAAGGTCCCGCGAGGCGGGGTCTAGTGACTTCTTGAACCACTCGGGGCCACAAGTGCCCTGAAAGAAGGGGGTGAACTGGGCAGGGGTCCTAGAAGGGCACGTGAGGAAGAAGGTGAAGCACTGGTTGAAGGTGTGAGGCCTCAGCACGCCGCTTTTGGCCAAAGGGTATCCGAACGTTCGGGCATTCACAATCTCGGAAACCCGAGGGCGGAATTCGGGAAAGTAGGACTGTATCCAGAGCTGCAATATCCATAAGGGACCGCCGCTGTCACACTTACAGTTGTTCACAATAATGTCTCTACAAACAGCGTAGAGACTGGCCAGGACAAGAGGCGCCAAGGCGAGCTTTCTCCCGCCCGAGAGAGCCAAGGCCAATTTGGTGAACTCCCCGCCCCCGGAGTCGCAAAAGAGGTACTTGGAGAGCCACTCGACGAGAAAAGAGACATGTTCGTCCTCCGTCACTGCGTGGAGCCCATCAAGAACGGCGCTGATGTCATCCTCGCCGTGCGGCCTGAGGCCGGTCAGTGCAGCAATGTCGAGCACCGTGGGGCCCATCATGCCGAACCTGAAATGGAAGGAGTTGGTCGAGACTGACCAGAAGAACAGGGCGGCGTGAACGAGGTTGTGGTCGAGGGGGATGTCCATTTTGGAGAGGTGGATAGCGTCATAGATCCCGGCTGATTTCCAGACCCGGCCTTTGGACCTTTCAACCTTTTCCACCCAATCGGTCCAGCTGCGGTTCACACTTGGCCAGCACTTGCCGCCGCCGCCCAGATCACCCGTCTCGGGTGGTTCAAGGGGCAGTGAGCTGTGGAAGAAGAGCTTCTCCCCTTGTGCTAGAGGGTAAAATGGGGAAAGCTCCGAAGGGAAATTGGACTTGAAGCAGGGGCCTAGAATGGTACTGGGCTCCGACCCGCCACAAACAAATGTCTCATTACAAACCACCTCTGCATCCAACCCTTCCATTTTCTCTCCCAACCTCTTATGCGATTCCCAGATTTCATTTGCGGATTCCATTTGTGCAGTGCGTGGTTCGGAGAATGGAGTCCCTTTAATTAATTTCAACCTTTCTTGCTACTTTAACCTTAGTACAATCGCTGCATGTTACCAGAAGATGAAGATAAATTAATCATCAGGAAGCCATATGCGGGTGGATGGGTGCTGCAAGCAACACAATCAAACATGCATCCATGATCCATCCATCTTTATGTACTACTACGTATATTTAATTTAAATCTGTCTTCAAGAACAGGGAACCCTCCATGCAAAAAATTAAACGAACTAGCTAGCAAAACGGATTCTTCACTGTACTGTGCTCTGGCCTTTGGATGGATGGATGACAAATAATGAGAAACTAGCTACAAGCAAGCTAAGGGAGTAGATTCAGAAGATATATACTACAGCGGATGGACTGACCCATTGTCCGAAAACTCCAGCGGATGGATTCTTCGCTATTTTAGACAGTTTGCTCTCTACACTGGATTTTCACCAGGAAAAAATTTAGTAAGAAATTATGTTTTATTATTAGCTTACAATAATAATACATGATACTTTTGAAACAAATGCAATGTGTAAATGCATTAAAAATGTAATAAATATTAAGAACTCATCAATTAGAAAAGTCAAATGATGTTGTTAGTAAAAGGATGATAATCAATATAACAATTAAATTGTGTTATCCTAATTACTTGTAGTTATTTTCTTAATTTGTGCATTATATATATTCATTCAGAAATCAGACATATAAAGAAATATATGTACAAATGTCTTACTTTATGATAAGATACATACTCCCTCAATTCTTTAAAAAAAACCATTTCAATTCACGATGCTTGAATAGTCATAAAGCTAACCAATTCCGGCGAATACTTTTATTATTCTTAACAAATACTCCGTAAAATTTACATAGAAGTATTTAAGAGGTATATTAAACATATATAGAGTCGCGTCTTTTGTAGCTTGGCATCTTTTCAAATAGTTCTAAAAGATAAATCATCTTAATTTACAAATGAACCGAAAGTAGCTTGACAGTTGTTCAACTTGTTCTGAAGTTTGTTTTTAATCAATTATAGGGGGTGTTTGGATCTGATTCTTAAATTTGTTTATGTTCATTCAGAGAGCAGAAGCAGAAGATGAAGTGTTTGGATGAAAGTGCAGAAGTGATTCTAGGGCTCTAATTTACTCCTAGAATCAGTTATTTAGAAGTTGGGGGAGATCAGTTTTTGAAAACTGATTCTAATTCTGCTTCTGATTTAAAAAAGAAGCAAAACCAGAATCAGTTCCAAACACCCCCATAATAGCAATAGTAATTCTTACTCCGTGTAACAGTATGGGCAGAAACGAAAAAATAAAAGCAACATGTGCTTCCCTAAAATGTTGTCTTTTCTTCACTTTTAAATTATATAACCAAAACAATGTTTAAGAAACCGGACCAAACTGTCACCATGAAGTGCAAAAGAGTTTAAGGTTTGGAAGCAACATTTTAATTTTATTGTCTGCTTGCTATTTATTTTTCATGACCAGAATGCTTATTTTTTTGTTGTTTACTTTTTTTTTGCTGTAAAACTCTTGCATTAGGATTGGTTGATGAGAGTCCTACTTTAACCGTCGTTGGCTCATTTATGCCCAATATAGGATTAGCGAGTCATATTGTTTTTTTTGAAGGCGGTATACTCTAAGTCTGGTTCGAGGGCTGGTGATTGTCTATGATCCTTTTGTCATTTTACTCCCTATCTAAATGATGTGATATACGAAGTAAATTTAAGCCCACATCTTCCAAAAAAAAAGGAAACCGGACCAAACCATGACATGTTTAGAGTACCGGGTCACGGGTTAACCGGCTCAACCCACGGGTCAATCAGGTCGATCATATACTCCAGATGTGCCTGCACGCATGTGTATTTGGTTAGCAACTGAGTTAGAGCTCGTTTGGTGATTCTGTTTTTCGGTTTATCAGGTTTATCAGTCAACGTTTAACCAAACACGTAACTTTTGATTTCGCGCGCTGAATTGTGTAATAATAAGAAAAGGTAAGGTTGAAGTTACTTTTCCGACTGTATTGGCTGAAGTTACTGTAGATGATCATTTTAGCTATTTTACATACTCTCTCCGTATTTAGTTGTTCTCTACATTAGGTTTGGGCACAAAGTTTTAGGATAAAATAATAGAGGTAATGAATAGTGTAGAAAAAGTAGGAGAGAGAGTGTAAAAGTATGAAAGAGAAGATAAAAAATGGAAAAAGTAAGGGTAGTTGAGTATTTTTAAAGGAAAAAACTTACCAAAAAGGGAAAGTGTAGCAATCTTTTAAATTCATCCCAAAAAGGAAAGTGTAACAAACTTTAGGATACGGATTGAGTATAATTTTTTCTTTATTTTATTAATAAAATATATTTAAATTTTTTTTTTCTTAAATTGAAAAAACCGGTCAATGTAATCTCTTCAACTTAAAACTTCATGAACTTCATAAATTAATCTAGCCAACCACCCCCATAGCCCGGCCACTTTGAAACTCTTCATTCTCCCAGCCCACAGTGGTATAGTACCCACCCACTCCTTACCTCTTCTCCCATCCTATCGTCTTCTTCATTTATATTCCTTTTAAAAATCAAAATAAAAAATAGAGTTTCAATCGGAAATCCTTAGGACTCCTCAACCTCAATCTACACTTTGCTTGTTACTTTTGGTTCGAAATTAAAAGGCATCTAAGCAAAATGGAAATCTCTTTTGTCCTGTTCATCTTCTACAACAATTTCTGTATGTTTATCTCTAATCCCTGATATCTGCAAAGGTGCTGGTGGGAGGGGTTCGTAATTTAGATCCACGGCAATAGATTAGGAAAAGAAAACCATATATGTATTGACCAATTCTGTCGTAGCTTGACCGGTTTTACAGGCTTTAGATCGGTTTACCGTATTTTGACCAGTTTTCGCTGGATTTTGACTGGTTCTACCGAGTTTTAGCACCTTGTTTTCATCTGCCACCGTACACTACTCTCGTATCATAGGCTCATAGCCTTTTCTGTCATCTGCCACCGTACCCATATCTTGAATTCTTGATTATACCATTAGAAGTGAGTGTTCCACGCCTCCACCCCAATAACCTACGGATAATTGTATATGATTGGACCACCTTTGCCTCTACTTGATGTGACACTTTTGAGCGGGAAAAATGGCTTGTTTTCCACCTCTTTTTATATAGAGATAGATTTTACTCTGATCGGACTATGCTCTTCACTTCGCTATGACATTTGGGGGAAGGAAGTGCTTATTTGAGAACACGTTCAGTTACGGGATGGGCCTTCGCATAAAGACCCATTTCACATAAAGACTCATTAATGTTCCATTCATTTAGCCGAACGCCACCTGAACACGTTCCATTCATTAACATTCCAACTGCGTGCCCATCATATTTTTGGCCCCAAATTTGTGCCCCCTCCAACTCGTGTAACAATTAACCATGTTCCATTGCAAAGCCCCATTGAAGGATCAATATAATATTCCTTAAAAGCATTATTGGAGTACCAACCTTTAGAGTTAACACATGGTTTGGAACTCCAGATGCACGTATTTTGTTGAGAAATTCTGGAGTGTGCAAATCAGCCAGAAAATCAGCATTGGAGTCTGACCTACAAATGCTATCTGAACTTAAATATGTCCTTGACTCATCATTAACATTCAAAGAAGTCATGTAGTCATTAGTTGCATCGACAACATCAAGGGTTGGAGCCAAAATTGCAGGCTCTT